AACCTTCATTTTATTTGTATAAGCATCATCATCTTAGCCTGAAGAGTAAGCTTCACCCCAGAGATAATAATTTCTATATAGAAAAGCTGTAATGAAGGGGTTATAAAAAACAAGCTGAAACTTTGAGCAATTTCTCTACAGTATTGCATTTGCATATTTCCACATTGCAAATAGGTTTAAAAACTGACAACAATGGAATTTTAAAAGAGCTTCCATTCCTCTGTTCCCCACATGAAAACTTTGTGGCCACCACAGGCCAAAATATGACTTCAGTGTTCAAGTCTGAAGCAATTAGGCAGGGACAGACAATGAGAGAATTCCAAACTATTTAAACCATAAAAGTGGAATAAACAGAATGTTATGTTTTATTGTAGGTTCGGGAACTGCAAACACGTTTGCAAAGTGTGCAGGCAACAGGCTCTTCCAGCCCAAGTCGTCTCACTTCTGCCAATCGACCCATTAACCCCAGCACGGGAGAGCTGAGCACGAGCAGCAGCAGCAATGACATTCCCATAGCTAAGGTGAGCTCTTATGTGTTCCAGGAATGCTTCTCAGTACCTGGGCAGAGCGGGCTTCATTTTGCACAGCTGCTGTCCAAGCACGTGATTAACTGAGAGATATCTAGAATCCCCAGACAGTTTTCAGGGGTCTTAAGCAGGCCCATGGACTTGTGCTGCAGAAAAGAATTAAACACTAGTGATTGTGATTCTCTCAGTTACAACACAGGTGTCAATTTTACAGTAGTGGATTTCAGGTTTGCAAGTGTAGCTAGTGAACAAAAGCAGGCTGTGTGATCTTTGTGGGATGTGGTTCATATGTAACCTGTACAGCATTCTGACTTACAGATTGCTGAAAGAGTGAAGTTGTCAAAGACAAGATCAGAGTCTTCATCATCTGATAGACCTGTCTTAGGATCAGAAATCAGCAGCATAGGGGTAAGGACTAATAATTGTTTGCATGCATGATACCTTCTGAACATAACCAGTGTTCATTTAAAAGCAGCGTTGTTTTTGTACTAAACTAATATATGAGCTAACTTAAAATGCTTTAAAAGTTATTTTGAGAAAAGTACTTCAACAGATAATATTTCACCCAATATTAAGATCTCATTTGCTCGTAACTGGTGGCTAGAAGTCATTCTCTCAGTGACTTGAAGAGGATAATTTTGGAGTCAGTTCCTTCGAAATATTATTCTTCGAGAAAAGACTGTTCAGTTGCATTTTATGACTTCCATTCAACAGAGAACTTGGTTCTGGTTTGTAATGCTGATACAAATCCATAATGATGTTGTTACTGCTTGTTAATATTTGTTTCACTGAATAACTTAGCTCTGACCGTTTTCAAGAAAGTAAATATCTTGCATGTTAGCTTTTAAAATGTATTATTAAATAGTTGGGTTCAGCCTTTACTTAGTAGAATTTTAAATCAAAAGAGCTTCTTAATGTGGAGATTTGTAAATGTTCTGTTCATTGTAAAGTTCATAGTAAAAACTGAATGATGAATGCCTTAATGTGAGTGCATGCAAGCAAAGGCAGCTCTTAGTGCAGCCTGTGTGAGGAATCCAGTGGTTATCAATTCACAATGTTCTGTTAATGACCCTGTGCAGGTGTCTAGTACTGTGGCTGAACATTTGGCACATTCCCTCCAAGACTGCTCAAACATCCAGGAAATCTTCCAGACTCTTTACTCACATGGATCTGCTATCTCAGAAAGTAAAATCCGAGAGTTTGAAGTGGAGACAGAGAGACTAAACAGGTAAGGTGAAAATGAGATATGCTCAGATGTGCCATCTGCTATTAGCTTTATTAAAGCTACTCCTTTTTTAATCCTTTACGAACATTTCAGATAAACATGGAAGGTAGCTGATGAAGAGAAGATTGAATTATATGCCAAGGGTTCTTTCCATTTGTATGAGTTTGGTCATGCATAATTAAGTTGGCATGGAACCTTCACCTGTGACAATTTGCCCTGTAGAGTCATTCTCTATGGGTGACCAAGTAGACATGGCATTGTTTTGAATAAGACACATCACTGCTAAAAGTAAGGATTCCTGTAATTTAGTATCCATCATTCTGGAATTAGCTTGCTTTCTTTTGCCCTGAAGAAACAGAATTACAACATAATTGTATCAATTAATGTACTGATGTATGATGGTGTGCCATATATGCCAGTAAATAGACTTAGGTCTGTAGAAGGAAGATTGCAGGCTTCCAGTTGCAGTTAAATTTTACTGCTGGTGTTACTCTTCAGTAAGATCCATCAAAACCAATTATTCCTGTCCTCTTTGCCACATAAACTCAAAATTGTGGATCAGGAATGTGAGAATCTTGTCTCAGCATGTTGCCTTCCAAGTTCTCTTTTCCGCACAGCTGTCTCAAATTCAGTCTGATCAGTACAATATCTCTTTTATTTGTAGCTCATGTTTTTGTAGTGCTGCAAAATGGGATCCTCCTTCTTTCTCAGTTTTGTTTTGGTTTGGTTTTTTTTACTATGCACTGCAAAACTTTGCTTTGACAACATATATCACAGGAAATATTATAGGGAACATCAAAGAAGATTACGGGAAGTGAAAAATCTGAGAGTTCTAGCAGCTAGGAAAGTCAGGACTTCATTCTCATCACTGAATAAATAGCTTACTAGCCTTTCTTCTTCATGTGTTTTTAAAAAGTCAGTGATTTTAGGGAGCTGGATGGCACTGATTTCTTCATTAGCTACCTGTCCAAATTTTGAAATCACATGCCCCTCTGTTTTCAGTGTATGTCCAGTTCTTACGATTAGGTGTAGTACATTGATACATGGTGCAGTTATGAGTAGTGAGACTGAACAGCAATACTGATTCTGAAGCCTCCTTTTCAGATTCAGAGCTAGCCTTGTTGAGAAGAATATTGCAGCTTAGCTCTGATATGAGCTTCTGTTTGTCTATTGCCAGAACTTTTTAAGGTTTCATTGTGTCATAGAAACTGCATTCATATTTTGGAAGTTACCTCTCTTATCACAACCAAAAATACCTCTTCAACTGAGATAGTTATTCTGGATGTTCCAAATAAAGAGGTTGTTTATGCAGCTGCATGATCCTTACACACACCCACACATAGCACTAGTGAATATGCTGTTTAAAACAAGAAGCAAATGTGGCAGCAGGAGGTGAGGAATGGAGGCAGAAAAATTAAGCAGAAGGTTTACTATGAGGCTGTCCTACACAGTCTTGTGGCTACAAAATAAGGCTACAGCTTTCTGCTTGCTGCTGTTGCACAGCATTATGGTTACATTTTAAGGGAAGGAGAGAAGTGGCTGTCCTAGGAGAAATTGCTATCCTCATGGCTCTTGATATAGGACACAGAACTGATAGGTTTTACCATATTTGTTAAAAACCTTGTGTAGACCAAGTGGTATTTGTCGTTTTAAATTATGATTGTTCTAGAGTTTTCAGGACAGTGTCTGCAAGCTAAGCTTGAAGGTTGAAAATTACTTCCTTTTCTACAGCCGTATTGAGCACTTGAAATCCCAGAATGACTTGTTGACAATAACACTGGAAGAGTGCAAGAGCAATGCCGAGAGGATGAGCATGCTTGTTGGGAAGTACGAGTCGAACGCCACAGCCCTCAGGCTTGCATTGCAGTACAGGTATGTACTTACATAGAGAGTGTCTTAGCCAGAAAAAGAGTGAGCAGGGGAGACTTGATAAATACCCCTTGAGAGTGAAATTGTTGGTGTGCCATAGCAATACTGTTTCTTTTGGTTTTCTCCCTGAAAAAAAAAAAAAAAAAAAAAGAGGCACCTTTTGTTTAAACTACTTGACAAACTACAGAGCTGGAGTTATTCATACAAGTCTGTTTCAAGCCTAGTTCACCAGCAGTAGTCAACTCAATCTAATAGAAATGTATAGATTTACCTTTTTGTTTTTAAGTACTGATTTAACAGTTGAATTAGGGGTTGTGTGTTCAATAAAACTGTCTCTGCTGTATGGAGTCCTATGATACAAGTTCTGTCTGTTAGGGCGGCACCATTCACAAGACTAGTGGACCGAAGAGGAGTAGTGTACTTCACATCATCTAGAGGAACTTCATATTCCATCAGTTGGAATTGTGGATTAATTGTTTTCATTTTGTTTACAAGTATCTAAATTTGCTTTAAACTATATCTAAAAAGATTGTGTCATCTAACTTTCAGCTGCAACTAATTTGGGACAGTCAGTTCCAATCTTAAGACAAACTGTGTACTTTTTAAAGAAGGCATTCTGTTAAAGAATGCATTCAGCTTAACGGAATTACAAGGAAATGTAAATTGTAAATACACATATTAATGTGTATCTTTTCAACAACATGCGAATGCAACAGAAATGAGAGACTCACAACTTTATTTAGATCCGTTTTGTTGTAAGGAAGAATATCTTACAGCCAGGACAAAACAAGATGTCCTTTCCATTCCCTTTTCCTTTTCCTTTCCCTTCCCCTTCCTTTCCCTTCCTTTCCCTTCCCTTCCCTTATCTCTTTGTTTCTCCTTTCCTTTTTATTTCTCCTTTTCCTTCCCTTCTTACTATACGTCCTATAGAGTACTTACATAGTACAGTATAGAGTACCATATTTAGTGAAGTAAGAAAGCCTGAAGTAAGTTTACCAAGGGACCATGTCAAACACAATTCCTATTGCTGACTTTAAAGGATGCTTCTGGAGCTCACATCACATCAGATCATTCACTTTGTTTTAACTTCTTGCATTACTTGGGGCCAACTGGGAACCATCATAAAAAGGAAAGGCTGAATGCTTTTGATAGAAGCTATGTGTATTATGTCATTTGGTATCTCTGCTGCTAGACAAGTAGTAGGGAAACATGCAGTTCATCAGCTACCTTTTTGTTGTTGTTGCTGTTGTAGGTATTCTTCCACTGTAAACTGCAGATCTGTTTTTTGTGATTTTTGTTTTCTGTGGATTTTTTTTTCTCTTTCAGTGAACAGTGTATAGAAGCATATGAGCTCCTGCTGGCATTGGCAGAAAGTGAGCAGAGTCTTATCCTTGGGCAGTTCAGAGCTGCAGGTGTTGGCTCTGTTGGTAAGATGTCAATGAATCACTTTATTTAAAATATTTTTTGCATGTCAGTTAGCATTAGAGTTAGTTTTAACAGTGAATCATCTCATGATGCATTACTTAAAAATGGTTTATGGTCTTTTATTGTTTTTCAGTAATTAAATCATTTTATACACCAAATAAAGTAGGGGAAAGAAAAAGAGAGATTGGAATTAAATAATAAAATTCACCACCAATTTCAATTAACTGCATGTACTGTCACAGGGTGATGACTGTTCTGGCAGCGGTGAGGCTGTTAAAGGCATGCAACTATACAGTGGAATTACTAAACAGTACTCAGGGGCATATGTGTCTTAGGGCCATGCAGCTGTGGTAACTGCAAGTACAAATTTTGTTTGAAGCAGCAACATTATACTCAACCTTTAGGGAGCTTAGTCTATGAAAAACTAGGATTAAGGTAATACAACAGTAGAATTGTATAGTTACCAAAACAATAAAACCAATTTCTCTAGGTTTTACACCCCACATTTTACTTTTGCTCTGAAACTTTAAAATGTTCAATCTTATGTTTTACTGTGTTGTTTGGGATATAAGACTATGAGTTCTGGGTTTTTCTTATTTCGTGGATGGTTAATCTTGTGGCTAGGTGGCAGAGTTTTTTAATAGGCTGCCCAGTAGTGGAATGAGCCATCCGAAGTACAGCTCAGTTTGGAGCTCGACTTTGCTGCTGGTTCCACTTCTCTGATGGGAAGAGGTGTTCACACAATTAATGTTAATCTGTGTTTTTTAGTTTTGATTGTTTTACTGATAGGAGAAGGTAGCCATAGTAATCTTCAAGTAGAAGGAGACAAAGCCTGCATGGTTGAGAAGGCCTGTGCTGTGTGTGCCATACACTAAACATTAGAGTGGGTGTCTGAGATTTTCATCCACCTTTCTTCCAAACTCATTGCTTTCCACAATGTGCTGGGGAGCTTTCCCTGCTGACAAAGATCAATGGCCAGCAAAAGTTAATTTAGTCTTGGCCTTTCCATTGCGTAGGTGTTAGAAAAGAAGAAATACTTTGGGTTTGAGTAGGGTTGCGTCTTGCATTAGTTTTCTGAAAGAGAGTGTAGTTTATTTTTTATATGGGTGTCTGCCTACAGCTTTTAATTATGGTATTATCCATTACAGCCCTGTGGTAGAAATCGTGCAAATTTCCCATTACGTAACACAGCTTGAAGGAGGTTGTGTTTTGTTCACATACCTTTATTTTCCTGTGAAATTTGATTAAAACACCTCAATAAAACAGAAGATTTTTTGTTTAAAGATAAGTCAGGCTTTATATCAACATCTGTGAGTGGAAATTCATGGGCGTTGCTTCTGCACCACTTAGAGCTAGCACATCCAGCTGCTCTTAACAGAACGTTCTCCCTTCCTGTCTTCTGCACTAGTGTTATTTCTGTTGCACTCACTTCATTTAGCAAGTGAAGTGTGGGTAATTGGTCTTTGACTCAAGTAAGGATGAAATTAAAATATGACATATAAAAAAAACCCACTTTGCTCTACTCTCTGACATCTTTGTATTGTATTTGGCAAAGTGTGAATATATTGCAGCTTTGATGAAACTTTCACTGTAGTCACTAAGTTATCTTGCTTTAATGACTTGACTCAGCTGGAGTTAGGACTATAAGAATAGTGACAGTAGGGGTTTCTCTCCTGCCTCTGCCAAAGGGAAGGCTTACCAGCTGCATAACTGCTAGAAGTTACAGCAAATTAATAAGCACCAGTGCTTCTTTTCCTTTGTTTGTTTTGATTTTTTTTTATGCATGACTGTAAATGCCGAAAGGCTGCTTCTAAGCAGTAAGGCAATTAATTCTTCCAGCTGGGAAGATAACCTGTAAGAAGATGTTCTGGTAAACCATTAGTTGAGGTAAAGGTGCTTGCAAGAAAAAGCCCTGGAAATTACCACTCTGTGAAACAGCACTGCGTGCTGTTAATTTAAGCTTTTCCTGTGTATTATTAATTTGAACATCCTTGCCTAATCCTAATGCACAGACCTAAATGCACCATTACAAATGGACAGGCCGGCTAAGGTAAAGCATCTAAGAAATGTATGCAGAGCAACAACTACCTGGAGCTTACTGCTGGGAGAGAGATGCATTCAGGCCAGTAGCCTGTTCACCACTGATGCTCATGCGGAAGTGAAGTTGCTATTACATCACAGATTGGGAATTTATTGACATCATCTTGATATAAACTGAGAGTGCATAGAAGGATCTTTAGCCTTGCCTCAGCCTCCTCAAAGCTCTGAAACATGGTTTGCTTAAAAACTAGGGGACCAGACAGGTGATGAAAATGTCACCCAGATGCTGAAGAGAGCCCATGACTGCAGAAAGACAGCTGAGAATGCAGCAAAAGCCTTGCTGATGAAACTAGATGGGAGCTGCGGGGGAGCCTATGCAATCACTGGCTGTAGTGTGCAGCCCTGGGAAAGCCTGTCATCCAACAGCCACACAAGGTAACGGCAGCTCATCTGCTCTCCTAATCCCCAGGTGTTTGTTTTCAGGCCAAAGGTTATGTTATCTTGTGTTTGCTGGACTTCCTCCCTCACCTGAGTCCAGCGACTTCGTCAATTTATAGATCACTATGCCTCAGTGGTCTGATTGTCTTTAGACTGAGGATCTTCAGCCAGGAAGGGTTTTGTATCAATTTGTTGCAAATGTGACTCTGAACTTTTATCTTCCTCATAAAGGGCAAAACCATTACGTTTGTTTTACTTCAGTGACTTTCTTGCTGCTTTATTGGAACTCAAATCGTGTGCTTCTTACTCACATCTATCGTATGCAGACAGCACAGACATACAGAGAAACAGAGATCAGAAGAATGCTTCTGTTGACCTTGTGGCATACTCGATAATTGTTTTCTAAATGTTCCAAATCTAACCATTTTGTTTTAAACCATTTCCTCTACCTTCTCATTCCCCTTTGTCTGCCTAAAAATCCTTCCTTCCCATGCTCTTCTTCTGTATGTGGAGTGGCAAATGAACATCATGACAGACAGAGCAGATCTTCCAGGAAAGGCTTGATGTTGCTATTTTTCTGAAGACCTATAAAATAAAGAAACTTAAATGAGCTATTATTGCAGAAGTGTTCCGCACATCTGCTAGCAGCTTCATTTTGAGTCATTGTCTGCCTGCAGTATAATTGTACTCTGTGCAGTGAATGTGTGTGCTTGTGTATGGATATGAATTTGGCAAGCATCCTGGATAAATATAGACAAACATTTTTCTTTTCAAAAGTTATTTTGGTTTCTCAGATTCACTCTGAAACTTCATTTTCATTCTGTTTTTCAGCCGGTTCTTTATTCAAATGCTGTCATGTTTTGATACTTCTAAAAGTTAATTTTAGTAGTATATAATTTTGTCTGCTTGCTGATGCCTCCTCCATAGGATCTTATTTCCTGCCATGTGACTAGCATGGAATAGTTAAAATCTGAGCAAAAACGTGACCTGAGGGAACGGGGTTAAAACGTGAGGTTTCTGACATTTTGTTCTGAGAAGTTTTATGGTGCACTTTCAGTCCAAGAAAGCTGTGTCTTTTTTCAGAAATCAATGTGACACATTGATCACTCATCGTAACAAAAGTATTTACTGGCCTTGAAAGGAAGATACATGAAGCTGTTTCAAATACTTTACTTGCCTCAGTCTGCATGCCTTTATGCCATATCTACACCTCCATGTGACCATGTTGTAAGTGGCCACATGTAGACTGAACTTGTTTTCCATTCTGTTGTTTGAAGGAGAAATTTTTGGTTGTTCAGAGCTACCTCAGTGTTTTTTCCTGCTTGTGAGATATCTGGGATATAGTCAAGGTATAAGGGTTCTTTTTGGGGTGGGTTTTTTGTGTAGTTTTTCTTTGTTTTGTTTTTTTTCTTGAAGATACTTCACATAGGTCCCCATTGACTGGGGAACATTGGCAGGAAGGGGGACAGGGATATGTGTTGTGTTCCTATTCTACTCTTATTTTCTTCTAGCCTTTTGCTGAGGTGTTTGGTAGGGATACAGTTTTTACATTCTTGCTTTGTTGAACATAATTTTTTTTGAGGGGGAAGATAAGGGAGGAAGGTGTGTGTGTGTTTGGGGGGAAAAATAATCTCCTGGGCTTGTTGTTTACCGTAAACTGTTGGTGGTCAGCTGGCAAGGCAGGTATATGTGCACGTATGTTGGCTGAGCAGACACAGTTTCAGCAGAGTGTGATTAAAATGGTATAGGATTTCAAAATTAATCAGTATAAACTGTGTCATGAAGTGTAAAAATAAAAATATATATGTTTCTGTGTGCAAGAAAGATGTTTTAGCTTATTATCATTGTATGATAATTTTTTTTACATGGAACAGAATATTGTACTGAATAAGGTAAATGCTTTGCTATATGTAGAACATGAGAGAAAAACACTTCTCTCACCCAGTGGGAGCACAGCAAGGTGGAAACTTGTAATCTGGGCATCCTGATGTGATCATCACTTGCACATTGTTATGCCTCTCCCCTTCTGCCACACACAGTGTAATTTTTCTTTGTCTAAACGTACATATCAGTGAAAATATTTCTGAAAATTTAGATTTGCCATGAAATGCAAGTCTTCTCTTCTTTCCTTCTATTGTGTTCAAGTGATATGTGATAGAGGTGTTCTCAAATTTTTCCTTCATGTGGATCCTGTCTCAAAATAGAGGCATTCCTCTCTTCAGCTTACTGATACAAAACACTGTGCCAGACCTACATGGAAAATCCATGTTGTTTAAGAAGACACACACTTTTATTATATCAGTAAATGTTCTATCTCAGGTTTAAAAAACAGAAAGTGTTACCTTTATCTCTCATTTCCCTGTCATTCTGGATCCTTTTTGTTTCTCTCCAGGACCCTACTCCTGCTTTTTGGATTTACCCTGCCTGTTGCCAGCTCTCTCAAGCCATTCATGCATGCCCCCTTGTCACTGGTTTCCTTGCTGCTCTAGACAGATAGCCCATTGCTGCTGACCTCCAGCACTCTGTGATGTTGATGGTTTCAATTTCCCGTTCTTTGCCATGACAATAGCAATCTAAGCAAGAATAGGAAAGCAGATAGCAGATTTCTAGCCGTTCCTTCAGGCTTAATTTTTTTCTTGTCTTAAAAAACTTGGCAGTCCATAAAACTGGGAAGTACAACAAACCCACATCACTAGTGAGTGCTGTGTGAACCACCACGTGGGGACCACTGCACTGAAATGAAAAGATTTTTAGATTACTGGGTTCAACCATACTCTGAATCTGCAAGACTTATTCTGCCATAGCTGTTTCAGTGTTGCAGGCATGTATTGCTGCCTTTGCCCTTTGAAACCGACTGAGTAAAAGAAGTAATGGGATGATGAAAATTCTCCTTCGCTTGGACTTATGAGTAACTCTCCCTGCTGTTTGAAATCCTATAGAGTGGGGACTGACAGTGAAATTGTTGACCCATCTTTAGCTTTGGCATTTCAAACGAGATTCTGAATGTCAAATCAGTGAACATATTACTGAGAATAAATGCTTGGGAGCTACTGGTGGCAAATGGCAAGAGACTGTAAAAGGGAGCAACTAAAATGAAAAGAAATGAAATGCAATGAAAGAGCATCACAGAGGTTGTTACTGGTGAAGTGAATAAAAATAATAGCAAGCATTTCAACTCATTTGGCCGGCAGCAACACATTAATGCTGCCAGTTCATTTTTTGAAAGTAGAAATAGGTCTTCATTTAGCTGGAAGTCATAATTATTTTAATGGACAAAAGCTTAACTATAGAACATACATTGGCAACAAGATTTGACTGATTACACCTTAAAAAGAAGGAAGCGAAAAAGGACTCAATTTGTAAAACTGTGTGAAAATTACGGATTTTATTCCCTGCAGGGCTGCTGAACTCAGTGTTACATCTGGGCTAGTGGAGGGAAAGATCTGGTCTCTTATATATGAAGGGATTCATTATTATGCAGTATCACAAAATATCACAAAATATCACTCAGCCAAGTCTAGGACCGTATTTCTCATCAGAGTCACCTCAGATTTCAGATAAGTAGCTGACAGATGAGATTATCTTAGCTGAAGTGTGTGAATAAGTTATTTAGAAATATCCCAAGGGATGTATATCCCCTTAATGTTACCTGTGTGACACTTCAGTGCTGGACTGAACAACTATCAGAAGGAAACAGGGTGGTTTCACCAAAGGTTCTGATTTTACCTAAATATACTCTTTGCCTTTTTGCTAATATTTTTCAGTTTCTTGGGAAATTACTATCTTTTGGCTTTGTGCTGTTTCAGATCTCAAGCCACCATGCTCAGCTAGAAGATGGTTGATCTATATATAATGTATATCAATTAATTCTTTAAATATATAAGGTGGTGTGCAGACATACAAGTAAGTTTTGTGGGTTCAATTCTGATGGGGTTATTTTAGTTCTGTCAACTTTTGTATTATCTGCACCATTGCTGAGTTATATATTTTTTTATTGACTTGATTTTTAAAAGATGAACTGAAGCTTATACAGGGTTTTATATGCGGAATTTGGTAGAGTACAGGAGTTACTCACACAGAGGCACTACTGAAAGACATGTATACCCATCCACTGCGTTTTATACACACATCTATGCATGCAAACACACAGATGCATGCCAGCAAATAAAACTGCATGCTACAGTATACCAAACTGCATAATTTCCCCAGGCTGTGTATGTAAATCAATTTTAGATGTATGTATGACATCATTGTAAAAGACTTGAAAGATGAAGCAAGTGGGAAGAAAATTTCTCTTTGCCTATTCTGAATGCAATAGCAGTTAGAATGAGCAGGTTGATGTATTTCTTCCAGGTGTGGTGAAGCTGTGAACCTTCCTCTATCCTTACCTACATTCTTGAGAAATGAGAAACTACACATCTTTTGCAAGTTTCATGTGGGTTTTGGATAGATGCCTTATACTACATACACATTCTGTCAGTCTGCTTTCCTTTGTCCTGATTGCTGTTAAAAGGAAGAGAGCAGTATCTGAAATTCAGGATCATATGTTCACCAGCTGTGGACCCTTAAATAGATCAGTGAACTAACTTTATGGCTGTGGAGAGCTGTATGGTGGGGCTTTTTGGGGAACACATCCTTGCAGAACTGTCCCATGGCAGTCCAGAAGCAGTGCAGCCTGGATTCTGTCCCTCACCATGCAGCCTTATTTTTGCAGCAACCTAAAATGAGCTTTATACCTCAACTTTCTGCAACCTATACTGCTTCTGGTCTGCTGGGTGGGGGCTTGGTGCTAAGTGTCAGGGGCGGGGAGGGAAGTTTCTTGTCCCTTTGTGTGCTGGCTGAGACAGCTTCCTCGCTGTGGTCCCCTCACCTTAAAAAAAAAAACAAAACATAAAAACAAAAAAACAAACACAAAAACAACCCAGCAGCTTGCAAGCTATTCACCGGAGGAGCCAACTCGGCTGCAGGCAGGCAGGCAGGCAGCCAGGGCTGAAGTAAAAGCAGCCTGAGTATCACCAGCAACAGCCCAGGCTGTCTTTTTCAGTCTGAACTGCTCTCTCTGAAAATATATGTGCATAGCTATGGATCTTAAAGGGCCAGAATCTGTGAATATCCAGTGTGAGGTCCAGCACAATGTAACAATAGATTTTCAGTATTTTTGCTCAGGTTTCACTTCCAGCAGGAGAGCTAGATTTTCTGTCCCTTTCAAGTCAAAACTGAGATGAGCTCTTTTTGTCCCAAGACATGAAGCCTGTTGTAGGCTTTAGAAGCTGTCCTTCCTCCAGCTGTTTTACATCTAATCCAGAGAAACTGTCCAATTGCTGTCTTTGAGTACTGAGAAAACTTGCAAGATTATTTTAGTACAGAATTAAGCATTTCTCACATTGTCTATCCCTGTGATTTTTATATCAATATATATTTCAGAGAGGTATCTTAAGACTCAGGAAAGCAGGATTTATTGTTTTGAGATTCTGTAATGAAGTACCAAATATAAACAAAAATTTGCTTCAACCTGAAAGGGCTTCTTGCATAGTGGATGTACTGGGTATTTTTAGCTTTGCTGAAGTTGGAAATGGATGAAAATAAAAGCAAATACCTGCTTACACTGGTGGTAAATACGGCGTTTACTATCCCTAAGAAAACTAAGGCATAATGGGAAATTGACAGAGAACTGTAATGCAATATTCCATGAGAGGGAAGGATTTTGAGACATCTTTGTAGACCTGCCAATACACCATCTCCTTCAAGCCTGTGCTTGGAATTTGTGGGAAGATTGGCAACTATTTGGGGCACTTAAAAATCAGTGTAACTTTGGCTGAAGTAGAACCAAAACAAAAGAGAAAAATCAAGCCTGTCTTGGTAGGCTTACCATTTTCCATATGTATAACATATTTTAGAACATCATCCCAACTCTCACAGCATGTAGCGGGTGGGGCCTTTTTTCTTCCTACAAAAATGTTGAATAGCAGTGAAATTTGATACAGAAAGTGATTTATTCCCCTGCTGATAACTGAGATCATCTAGCATTCCAGACAAGCACAGTTAATGGATGACTTATCCCTCACCCGGCAGCTGATTACAGGACCTCAGGAGACAGCAGGCAGCTTTGAGTGAGGTTATAGAAACAACATGTCATTTTATTTTCCTCTGAGTGCTGTTGCAACTATATTCAGCCCTGGAACGCTAGGGCTGTATCAGTGTCTGCCCCCTGCAGCACTGGCATGGGTGTAGGTGAATAGGCAGCACTGATCCACCCCTGCTGCAAGACATCAATCTCTTTGGGAATATTTGTGGGGCAGGCTAATGGCAGCTATTGGTTTTATGCCTTTAGACAGGAGAAGTTCCACCAAGTCTAATGATTAAAAATCCTGCATCTGCCAGTGGAATTACGCTAGGTTGATTCGTACAACTCCTTAAAAATATCAAGAGGTGGTAACAGCTGTTGCCATCAGCAGATTTAAATGAGGTCTGCTCTGATTCTTTTTTCTTAGCAGATGCTTTTCCCGAGGAAGATGAAGACTCAGTGGCTGAGCAGCAGAGAGAGATTCAGCCTGCTAGATTGCTAAGAACTCTTCAGTAGCTTTTTCTTTTTTTTTTTTTTTTTAAAAAAAGGACTTGTTTCAGAAGACACCATTCCAGAAAACGTAATTCAGTTATGTCACTAAATATCTGGCTTTGCAGAGAAGTTGTCACATGATTCAGTTTTCTCATGCAGCTCAAAGAATTTTTTTTCTGAATTTGTCACACACCTCTGCAATGTCTAGTCCATGATACATGTGCCCTTTCTGTGAACTTTTAAGTAAGATTCAGATGTGTTGATGAAATATTGGGAGAGTGTTTGATGTAAAAATACAGATACTTTTTTTTCCAAATGTTATTTGTTGGGTTTTTTACCATTATTCTTTCTCTTTCCAGTACTACCAGCTCAACTGCAAGCAGTTGTGATACAGAATTTACAAAGGAGGATGAGCAGCGGCTGAAGGATTACATCCAGCAGTTGAAAAATGACAGGGCAGCAGTGAAACTGACAATGCTGGAGCTGGAAAGCATCCATATTGATCCCCTTAGTTATGATGTTAAACCTCGTGGAGACAGCCAGAGGCTGGACCTGGAAAATGCGGTCTTGATGCAGGAACTTATGGCAATGAAGGTATTTTATTTATGTCCAACAGGCTAACTTCACTACTGACAATGCCCCTGTGCTGCAAAACATTATCAGTCACACTCATGGCAGGCTTTGATAGTGATTACTGGGTAAGAAAGGGTAACTTCATTGAAACAAATAATCAGTAGTCAATAGTGACGAGCTGTGTGTGTGCTTTAAATTGGGCAAAGACCTCATCTGTGGCTCTGAACTTGGAATGCTCTCCTTGACAAACCAGATGCTCTCCTTGAGGAGCTGAGTTGTGTGAGGGTGACCAAAAGCATGATACAGCACTTTGAAGGAGACAGTTCATTACTTTACTTACGAGCTTGCAAATGTGCATCTTGAATCTTTGTGAACTGAAGCAGAAAATTTCACCTCCTTTTAATACTGCCATAGAAGGAGGAACAGTCAGTCAGAAGCTATCATCCCTAATGCTCTCCAGCACTCAGTCACAAGTCCAGAGGTGTTCCAGGCACTGTGTTGCAATGTGTAGCTTGGTTCGGAGTGTGGCTGTCATGACTTTCAGTAACAGGTTTTTGGAGAAAACTGGTACCTAAGGCCATGTCTATGCATCCAGTGCTAAAGATGTGATCTAGAAAAACTGGCCTTTATTGACCAAGGATAGAGCTTTAAATCTGGCTTTTATATAGCCTTTGAGAGAGGTGACCTAAAATGTAAGAATATTTAAAGGCACTATGAGCACATATCTTCATTTAGAAATTGTCTGGTTTTGCTTCAGTTTAAAGAAGTTTGATTTCTTCATGGTAGTAAGTCTTATTTTGGTCAACTACTGGAAGATATGTCAGATGATGGTATTGTGTGGAACAGCAAATCCTAATATTTTCATAAGCTTCTATACATTTTTGTTCAGATGTGCTACTGCTGGCTAACAGGTAACTTAGTAAAGATTATTATGTTCTTAGTGGTGCTACCTTTCCATGGTGACAAAAGCAATTTTACAATAATGCATTCAGTATTTGCAGGTCAGAAAAAAAAAGATTGCCTGGTGCCAGTCAGAAGATGCAAAGTTACATTAGTTGTTTGTATTGTTACTAACAACAAAATATTCCCCATAATTGATGTACTGGAAGACATCTGTAGATAGTAAAGTGTGTATTTCAGATACCTCACATCTCCTCTTTTGTGTCGAGATCTTCCCTGAAATCTCGTGTACACCATTCTTACCTCTGTCTCTGACTTGACTGGTAAAAACAAAACTCAGCTTGTGATTGCTGCCTTTGCATTCTCAGGCCTATCAGGAGCACCAATCCCTGCATGTCGTAATTTCTGGTGTAGTTTTGAGAGCTGGTAGTCCTTTTGTTGCCTAAACGGTCATTTAACTTGTTTTTGATACAGGGTGTCCCCTCATAACTTTTGGCTGGACCTAGCACATTGGGTTTTGACTGTAGGAATTGTCCTTAAAGGAAGAAATCTTTCTTCTTCCTTGGTTTGTGTGCAATGCATAGTGGAGTAGACACACATTTTACTTAGGTGGCTAAAGGCACCTTCAGTCCTTTCTTGTAAAGAGAAACTGATAGTACTTTTGTTCATTGTAATTTGTTATACTTCACTGGAATTCACAACTGCAGGAAATCCCTAAGTTTCTGAAAGGGATACATCGAAAATGCAGGTCTGTCAAAGCTTGGAATGGATTTGTTGGTAAGTGCTCTCCTGCTACAGAAGTTGAAAACTCCTGCCTTTCTTCTGGGCATGAAGTATTACAAAGGGCACAGCTACACTCTGCTTTGATCCCAAGAGTATGTGCTACTATAAAAAAGATGTCCTGGGGATGGTTTCTCAGTTTCCCTGTTGATTTTTTTTTTTTTTTAACTGCTTTAGAGTGTAAGACATAGTGGTCTGCCAGTTCTTTTATAAAATCCAATTCTTTGCTTCAAGCAATAATTAACCATGCTTCCAAATATACTCTCATCTGCCATTTGTCATCATTCAGCGGTCCTGCTTTGAGGTCAGTTGTTGTCATGCCCCAATTAGCAAGGAGATTACTTCTGCTGGGTATAAATAATTCTTGCTTTACAGCCTTTCTGCATTTCAAAGGATTTAATCTAGATAAGAAATCTCAGCTTTCTACACTGAAAATTTTTCCTCTTTTGTGTACAAGCAGTGATAATATTGCTCGTAAAGCACTTGTAAAGGCTATAGTCTTTTAGTGAAGAATGTGAAGAATCCTGTTGTCCACCTTTATTACAGCATTTGTTGCTCTTACAGATGTAAGCAGAAAAATACAGTTAACTAGAGCATGGCATTTATCTACTTCGGTGTTTGTTTTACTTCTGAAGGCAGGTATATTCCAGCTTGTGTATTGTGACCCTTCTGGAGTCCCTTTTTGTGACTTTTAGGACTTTTTGCTACTTACAAGTCCTTGATAGATTATTCTTCGGACATAACCTGATCAAGCACTAATTTTAATGTTAAGGGTGCTGTGCTGTTTCCAATAGTATTGAGTCAGGAGTCTTTAATTTTCATTCAAGTTTTCACCCAAATTCAGAATTACATTATGAGTGCAAGTACAAAATACTACTCAATATTCAGTTAATGCCTGCTAGATTTGGTACTTGAAGCTTGTGAATTTGCATGGGTTAAGTCTTCTGCAGTCAGCTGGAACAGTGACCACTTGCTACCTCCTCTCTTTCAGGGTTTCATTTTATAAATGCTACTTGTGCGTTAGGTCCAGATATGTTAAACTGCAAAATATTTCATAAGCATCCTGTAATTAGAGCAAAAGGGGATAGTAAATATACAGAGTTGGTGTTGTCATTTAAATGAAATTTAGACACTATCTTTAGAAAACATATTTTCATGGAAAAAATTACTGCATATGTCAAGACTAATTAACTTTCTATGTAAACCTCACCTACTTATATTTTCCCACATGAAAAATTACTGTTGCCACCCTGTCTCACAGGTTCTATGTATCCATATCAGAATTCTCCATGGTAGTTTTAATTTTTTGCTTCAACTTCTGCATTCTTTTCTGTTCCTTCCCTGGGAGCCTCTGTGAGGCAGTGGCTGACAGTTTCCTTCTGCTGTGTCTTTGCTTCTGTACTTCAAAGTCACATTGTCTTGACAGGAGAAAACTAACATATCAGGTGTGCTTTTGGTGTCCATGATACATCTTCTGAGACAGATTGCAAACTTTGGAGTTCCTATATCATGATCTAAGCTTACAGTTTTCCTAAACTAAGGAGTTAACCACTGGTCCACAAATGTATTCTGAGCTAGGATACATAGTACAAACAACATTCAGTCTTTAAGTTAAAACTTCTGAGTCATATGAAAAATTATTTCCAGAGATTCATTGTTGCCGTGGTTCAGTTCACCTTTTTCTTCTAGTAAATGCAGGGTTGCAGGTTATGCAGGGATGAGGTCAGGAAGGCCAAGGCACAGCTGGAGCTGAACTTGGCAATAGATATTAAGAGAAACAAGAAGGGCTTCTACAGGTGCCTAAACCAGAGAAGGAAAGTTAAAGAAAGCCCACCCTGATGAGCCACAATGGTGAAATGGTAACAACAGGTAAGGAGAAGGGTGAGGTTCTCAACAACTTTTTTGCTTCAGACTTCACTTTCAACCCCTCTCCTCACAGCTCCCATGTTGATGGCCCACAAGATGCAGATCAGAGAGGCAAAGTCCCCCCCACTGTAAGTGAGAATAAGGTTCATGAGCATCTGAGGAACCTGAAGATACACAAGTCCACTAGGTCTGATGAAATACATGCCAGAGTCCTGAAGGAATTGACAGATATAATTGCCAAGCCACTGTCCATGATATTTGAAAAGTCATGGCAGTCAGGTGAAGTCCCTGGTGACTGAAAGAAAGGACATGTTACGCCCATATTTTAAAAGGGTAGAAAGGAGGACCCTGGGAATTACCAGCCTATCAGCCCCGCCTCTGTGCCTGGGAAGATCACGGAACAGACCCTTCTAGAAGACAAATGTCTGCCTCCTAGAAGACAGGGGCAAATCCTGCCTGACCAACCTAGTGGCTTTCTACAACGAAGTGACTACATCAGTCAACCAGGGAGAAGCAGTGGATGTCATCTATCTGGACTTCTGCAAGGCCTTTGACACGGTCCCCCACAACATCCTTCTCACTAAATTGGAGAGATACGGGTTTGATGGGTGGACTGTTCAGTGGATAAGGATATTCACATCCAGAGGGTAGTAGTCAATGGCTCTAAGTCCAGATGGAAAATGATGATAAGTGGTGTCCCTCAGGGGTCTGGATTGGAACCAGTGTTATTTAATATCTTCATTAATTATACTTAATATCTTAATTAATGATATTGACAGTGGCATTGAGAGCACTCTAAGCAAGTTTGCTGATGACACCAAGCTGGGTGGTGTGGTTGATATGCCAGAGGGATGGGATGCCATCCAGAGGGACCTGGACAAGCAGGAGAAGAGGACCCAGGTGAACCTCATGCAGTTCAACAAGGCCAAGTGCAGGGTCCTGCACCTGGGCCCAGGTAACCCAAGATATGAATACAGGCTGGGGGAGGTCACACGTGAGAGCAGCCCTGTGGAAAAGGACCTGGGGGTACTAGTGGATCAAAAGCTGGACATGAGCCACCAAGGGAGGTGAAAAACTGGGGGACAGGAGAAAGGAAGATGCACTGAAACTCTGTCTTCCTTCATTTTCCAGATCCCCATTTGATTCTCTGTGACATTTCTTATGGCTCTGTTTTTATTACTGTAGGCACTTCCCCCTTCACCTCTCACTTCTCCATGAAAGTAGTAATGCTACATTTGTGGTCGTCTGTTACTACCACAAAATCTTGTGCTTTCCTTCCAAAGATGCAACAAAATTAACAGGGAGGCCTCATAGTGGCCTTTCAGTACCTGAAGGGGGCCTGCAGGAAAGCTAGGGAGGGACTTTTTACAGGGGTTGCAGTGAGAGGACAAGGGGTGATTGTTTTAAGCTGAAAGAAGAGAGATTTATGTTAAGAGATCAGGCATAAATTCATCAGTGTAAGGATGGTGAGACACTGGGACAGGCTGCCCAGGGGTGTTGTGGGGGCTCCATCCCTGGAGGTGTTCAAGGGCAGGTTGGATAGGGCTCTGAGCAGCCTGTTCTAGTGGAAGGGGTTCCTGCCCACACAAGGGAGTTGGAACTGAACGATCTTTAAGGTCCCTTCCAACTCCAAACATTCTGTGATTCTGTGATTTAGCTGTCCTATTCCTAGGCTGAATTTACCTAGCTTCAGCTTCCAGGCTGGGTTGATCTTGTCATGACCCTCTCAGATAGATAACCCTCTGTAAAGAGTATGTAAGTGCAAAGTACTGATCAAATTACTGCTCAGCCTTTACTAAGCAGGCTAAGTAGATTATTAACTTTAGAAATAGAGTCTTAAGAAGCTAAATCCATACACCCAAGTATACTAGACAATCCAGTTCAACTCCTATAACTAAATTTCCCCATCATTATTTATCAGTGTTATTTACATTTCTTATTGTTGACAAAGGAAATTAATTATAAGGTTGCCTAACAACTAAATTTCTGTAAGCCACATTGAATTAAGTGGATTGTGCTTCTAACCTTCAGTTCACAAACAAGTAGATGAATAAATGAATTATTTTAAAGCTCATACAAACCTTTCCAAGCCTGAGGGTTTTTAGGATATGGGTTTTATTTTTGCATGGTTGGTGATTCTGAATAAGCCAGTGATTACCTGTGATTACTATATTCTGGTAGTAACTGTGCTATACCTGTGCATGCATCTTACACTTAATCCAAACTGCAAATTTCTGGTAGGAATGTAGGTTCTCTTCTACAGAAAAATGTTAGTCTAAATATGTGCCAAGATTTGTATTTGTGTAATCTTTGTTAGTAAAGAATATCATACGAAGAGCATTATGTTTGAATGGATAAGGTAAGATACCTCTGATAATTTTATTACTATAATTTTTTGTTTGTTTAAAAAGTAATTTTAAAATAGTGATTTGTTCCTAGACTGCCCACACAACAAGAAACTTCTATCTTTTAGAGATGTTTTCACAACAAACAAGTCTAGAACTATACTGTAATACAGAAAATTACTGTATAAACTCAGTATTTCACCCATGAGGTGACCCAAGGCACAGCAAGCTCTACAGTGAAAACATGATTCTAGATTGTGTTTGGGTTTTTTTATTTGTTTTGCTCGTATTTTTTTTGTATGATGGTGGCTTTTTAATGCATACTGTAAATGATGTTTTACGACTATTTTTTAAAATTTTTTGTGGATGATGGGGTTTTCTGAGTTAAAAAAAATAACTAGGCATTTAATGGAAGAAACTTCCCAGAAGTATTATACACAAAGAGCCTTCTCCCTCAGGGTAGCCATAGAGCTGCTTTTCTTGAAAGGCTGGGAGCAAATGCTGGCAGAAGCATCTCCACACTCATGCCTACTCTTCTGCCCAGCCACTGCCAGGCAGATGTTGAAGCAGAGGTGCGTCCCCAGACCGCGGTTGTTCTGTTTCAGTAGTTGACAGACCCATCGTAAATACCAGAGTGGCAGAAGGATTGCACAAAAGAACTGGCTCTCAGAAGTGAGCTTCTTTCTGTGAAGTGTCCATCTTCTGGGGATCATATTTATGGAAGAATAAAAGCAAGGGCAATTTTGTTACCCTCCAGTTGTGTGTAGTTGGGATTCTGCCCACCTAGAGAAGGGAAATTAAAAATGGACATCCAGTGGTGCTGTACCCAGTTGCCCTTTTGGACCAACTCATTCTACCAGAGACTGGTTTTATGAGGCAGGAATATGTGACCTGTGTTTGCTGTCCTAGTCCCCCAGGCCTACTCCACAGTGATGACATAAAGCAACTCTGATTCTTACCTATCAATAACAAGCTGGAATCTAACAAGTAGGGAGCTTGTTGACAAGAAGGTCAGACACTCTTGGCTTTAGGGCAGTAGTCTCTGGAGGGCAAGGTAGAACAAAGGAAATTTCAGCTTCTGCAGCAACCTACTCAGATCCCTGATACTCGAATTTCAGCACCACATTATTTGCTCTGTTTCCTCTGAATTTATGTCTGAGGCTGATTAAGTGATGGCACAGCTTACCATACACACTGAGTCTCAAGATCTGTTGGTCTTCTGACAAATATAATACGTGATTATAAAATGCCTTTTGGATGCTGGTAGTGCTCTCCATGGAAATAACAGTCAAATATTAAGAGTGAATGAAAACATTTAACGTCATCTTCTTTTAGGTATGTAGTCCCAGGGAACAGCATGCTGATAATGTTTCTTCAACAGGAGGAGATGGCAGAGCTCAAGGCACAGCTTTACCTGCTAGAGAAGGAGAAGAAGGCATTGGAATTGAAGCTGAGCTCTCGAGAGGCCCAGGAACAGGCTTACCTTGTCCATATTGAGCACTTGAAGTCTGAAGTGGAAGAGCAAAAAGAACAGAGAATGAGGTCACTCAGCTCAACAAGCAGTGGAAGCAAAGACAAACTGGGCAAGGTCAGGAGTCAAACAAGTTTCCAAAATCAATGTAAACATGGTTTGTTATATCCCTCAGCAATCTTTTAGCATGTTAATAATTTTCCTCTTTAGTCTGTATGTACGTCTTTTCTCTCTTCTCCAGTTGCTAGGTGGTTATTTCCATCCTGCGACTTAGGAGGACTTTGTAGAAGTGCTATTTAAGCCTGGGCTAAAAGAAGTTTGGAGTCCAACAAAGCCCTTCTTGCCAAATATAAAAGCTGCTGTGGTTTAAATGTGTTGTGTCCTTCCTGTTGTCACTCACTTGAAACAGTGAAAGAGAGTCTAAGCAAAATGTCATCCTCCCCCTACTCCAATCACAAATATGAAGAAATAGAGCTCCTTTCTATGAAGCTGCTAGAACATTTTAATGCCAGTCTCTTTTTCCAAAACAGTTTGTAATTATTTGAAAATGTGGACTTTTATCCCCTTAGTATAATGCAAAATTAACATAATTCTGCATTTACATTAATAAGTTGCAGGAAGAAAAGGTGATACATTAAAAAACTTGTAGTCTTGTTACTTTAGTGCTTTGTCCCCAGAAAACCTTAGCAATGTGTTTTAAAACAAAACCCAGAGCTAGTGTACAGCTGTGTCTTTAAGCGTTTCTGGCAAAGCATCATCTGAATTGTTGGATCCGAGTGCTTCTTTTTTGAAGTGTAGTGTCAAAAGTAATATAAGGCACGAGAAGTTAGGCACACTGTAGCAGCATTCTGCAGATCAGTGAGCTATGGAGGTTTAGGAAAGGTTTAGAAGGATTTGGGAAGTGTTAATCCATTGCTCCATTTCTTGGTATGTTGATCCACTGACATGATGTCGTGACATTGTGATGTTTATTTCACCTCCATTTTAAGAGTGGCTGTGAAGGAAGAGGTTTTCAGAGTTTTCCCATTAAGATGGGAAAGACATTTCAAATTAGATGACCTTTTCTCATTTCTCAGGAATGTAGTGATGGCGCTGCAACACCATTAACACTGGCTGAACTGAGGCCCTACAACGAGAGCGAGCTGGCTGCTGAGCTGACAAATGCACTCAGAAGGTAAGCAGCTTCCTTCACCAGGCACATGGCTTGCCCTGTAGGTGGAGGGCAAGGTTTAGTTCACTCTTACCCTCCTGTGGTTTAAGGGCGATAGCAGATTTTTCCTGTGAGAAAGAAAGTGACAGAAGTTCTTTTAACTCTCCTCTCTCTTTCGTTGTTCTTCAGCTGATAAAAGTCCTGCACATGTTTCGTAGCTCCCTTCCCCTTTGGGTTCTCTAAATTTCAGATTGACTCTATCCTTAAAAAGCCCTCAAAATGTCAGACATGTCCATATTCAGACAAGAATATGATACACAAAACATAACTTGCTTGAGTGCCTGCAGAAAACCTTTAGTGATGAAAGGTTTTGAAGTGAGGTCTGTTTAAGAAGGTTGGTTGCAGATTAAAACAGGGTAGGAGTTAACAGGAGTGGGAATTGCTGTGCTTTTGATGACTCAGATGTTGCATTTGTGTTCTGAGTATGTAAATAGAACCACAGTTCAATTATGAATGATATTGTTGTGTGAAGCATTAGCTCCTCAATGAGAGAAAATTGATGTCTTGACAAACTGCGTTTATCATCAGCCAGGTTTTAAGCCAAAGCTTTCAATACAGTTATACATTAACCAGGTGTTTGTGCAGCAGTTTGCACTGCACCAGCTATGTGGTAAACTTAATGACAAAGATATTCACTGTTTTCCTAGCTGTTTCAGTACTTGTTCCACCTTTTCTAAGAGATGCCTGTCTGATACGTAATCTACTTATTGTATTTTGAACCTTTACAAAATGCTTCTAAAATTTTTGGCTGCAAAGAGTGTGTTTTACTTTCCTGGTGTTTGCACCCTCTTTAATGGTGCTCTCAGGCAGCTGTGGTGTTTCATTGCTTAAGTGCTATTTTCATTGGTGCAACTTGTAGTGTGCCTAGGGACACTTAAGCCTGCAAGGCATTATGTAAAAGTGATTGTTACTACTGCAGAATCAATATCTCTGATATCATTTGCTTAATAGTCTGGCAGTTGCTGAGTATTTAGTTTGCTTGATGTGGGAAACAAAAATTCTGTGGTTAAAATAATCAAAACTGTCATTTGTGTGTGGGCAGATAAAACCATGGACAAAGTTATTTGCATAAACATTGCATATTGCCACTGGCCTCCCCCATATCCCCCATGCTCCAGTCCTAGTGGGAGCAGCTCCACTGGCATTTTCTGTCTTCACTCAAACTGCAGCTTTTTCCTGTTCCTGTTGTTTGCTCCTGGATTTTGAGAAGATCCCAGTGACCTTACTGGAGGCTTGAGCATAGTCGTGAAATGCATCTTGCTGACAATGGAGACAAAAAAAATGTGCTTTATCTACTAGGCCTTAAGTTGATTAGGATGGATTTCCAGCCTAGGGCATAGCAAATGCAGTTTGTCAGGCAGAAACGGGGAAGAAAAATAATCAGGTTAAATTGTACATAAATTTTGGAGTGGAGACTATGTGTAATGGAAATAAAACTGGCTACAGCCAGTGGGGCTCAAGCACAGTTTCTGCAAGCTGTGTCGACGGGGTATTTTTCTCCCTTATTTAGTCTGCCAAATCAAACTACATTGTTAGTCTCCTTATCCTAAAGTCTTCTCTCTGAACATCAGTAGAAGGTCTCTCTAGCACATGAGAGAAGCTTACTGCAACCTGTTTACCTACACCTATGCTAAAAAATACCAGCAGTTCTTAACTGCCATGCTGGATAAATGGAGCCTTAGATGTCACAATGAAATTTGCACCATGATGGTTTCACAAAAGAGTTTTAAAAATAATTAAAGTGCATTTTACTCACTGCAGGTGCTACAACAATGCAGAATGGTCTGAAGTGACTGTGGTAACTTTAGGGGCAAAGTGGACTTAGTATGTGCCCTTCTCTCAGTGCACTTCCTCCTTTTATGAGACAACAAGTGCTGGCACCATGTGTGAACCTGGTTCCTCTCCCAGGCATCCTCCTTGCTGACCAAAGAAGTAGGACCCAAATTCAACATAAGAACCATTTTACCCAGTAACTGTGTTTGCTGTGGGGGAGGAGGGAGATGTGAAACATCGCACACTGAATCAGTGTTCTAGAGGCAATATTTAAATGCCAACGTTCAGGAGTATTTCAGTGCTGTTGCAACTAGTGCACACATCCAGCAGTTGGACCTCTGTCTGTTGTTACTCCAGGCAGTAGATGCTACACAGGGGACAGCATCTGCAAGGATAGGGGCAAAATCCATTTGCTTTTGGTTCTTTTGGTTTGTCAGAGAATGTGGTATCAATCAGCAACCCTGCGTGCTGCCCCCTCCCCATCCTGTCTTCATAGAGACAAGCCTTGGCAGCTTCCCCCTCTTCTGTTTTCCCATTCTGTCCTTCTGTTGCTGCAGAGCTGTCAGGTTCTTCTCAGTTAATTGAAATAGAGAGAAACCAAAACAAAAGCACAGGACACAGTTACAGTTTGGATGTTGAGATGGTTTGGAACTGTTTATTTATACAGGGTCTGGAAATGGCTATGCAGCAGAACAGTCTCATCCACAGAGGTAGCCTGTCGTCTCTCTGCAGATTTTCTCATTAATCTGGAAACCAGCAGTGTGTTATAAACCTCCCTGAGTTGTCATTGGTAGAACCCATCAGCAGAAACTAAAGACATTAAATTCTTCATTTATTGTTTCATAACATATTTGTTGTAGTAGGACTCAGGGTTTCCCATGGCAGTGTTGAGCATTAAAACCCATCTTACGGGCTTACCATAGAAATTACTTTTCCATGACCACTGTGCTAACTAGTAGAAATGTAAATTATCCACGAGTTCCATGTTGTCAAAGTTATATCTAGGTTACCAGACATCTGGTATTGCAGGCTGAGACCACAAATTTAGAGAGACATCCTCTTCCAGCCAAACATAAGGCAACTACAGACTGGTCAGCTTCACCTCCTGTGTGACCTGCCCCCTGTTCTGGCAGAGGGGTTGGACTAAATGATCTCTAGAGGTCCCTTCCAAACCCTAACATGATTCTGTGATTCTAAAAATATTTTTTGCCAGAATCCTTAGCTATTTTGTTTTTCCCTCTCTGCTTTCTTGATGGAGTGTTTCGATGTGCATGAAGCCATTTGAGTTTTTTCTTGAGTTTGACACATTGATAAACAAGCTTGTTGGCAGGTAATGCTTTATTCTTGGGGAGGCAAAAATGTATTCCCAGCAATCTCATGGCCTGGCACTGACATCTTGATGATTGTGCCAGAGGCCAGTTTTATGTGAGAGGATTTTGTTGAATACCCTAAAATCAGGCACATTACACAGCTTCTGAGGGAGACCTTAAAATGAAATCGTCTTTGCTGGTGTGTTATGCTCTGCTGGAGTAGGGGGAGGAATAGCTGCAGATAACATGTATGAATTCATAACCTAGCAGGCACATATGAGATTAGAAACGCATTAGACATGGCAGGAAGGAGGCTGTAAGAAGAATTTTGGATATCCAGCAAAGTGATAATGATGATACAACTAACGTTTTCTTTTCTTTTACTAAGTTTTTTCATTCTGTGAAAAATGGCCAAATGGCTTCTTAGAAATTCTTTGATTGTTGAGGTCCTCTTGCAGCCTCTCCTTTAGCGAGGCCTTTGACAAGGTTTCCCACAGCATTCTCCTAGAGAAGCTGGCTGCTCCTGACTTGGATGTGCGCACACTTTGCTGGATAAAAAACTGGTGGGATGGCCAGGTCCAAAGAGTTGTGTTCAGTGGAGTTAAATCCAGCTGGTGGCTGGTCACAAGTGCTGCTCCCCAGGGCTCAGTGCTGGGGCCGCTCCTGTTGAACATCTGCATTGATGAGTTGGATGAGGGGTTGGAGTACACCCTCAGTAAGTTTGCAGATGGCATTAAGTTGAGTGGGAATGTTGATCTGTTTGAGGGCAGGGAGGCTCTGCAGAGGGATATGGACAGGGTTGATCAATAGGCTGAGGCTAATTGTATGAGTTTCAATAAGGCCAAATGTTGGGTCCTGCACTTTGGCCACAACAACCCCTGGCAGTGCTACAGTGACTAGCAACAGAACAAAAGGAAATGGGGTCAAGTTGCACGAGGGAAGGTTCAGATTGGATACTAGGAAATGTTTCTTCACAGAAAGAGTGGTGAGGCATTGGAACAGGCTGCCTAGGGAGGTAGTGGAGGCACCATCCCTGGAGGTGCTCAAAAAAACAGGTGAATGTGATGCTTTGGAAGATGGTTTAGTGGTTAGGTCTTGTAGGGCAAACAGTTGGACTTGATGATCTTGAAGGTCGTTTCCAACCTTGATGATCCTATGATTCTTGTATTTCCAGCTGATGATAGCTGGTGTGTTTTCATAGGGTTGTATTTTGTGTTAGTATTTAGAAAATCCTTTATAAGCAGTGAAATACTTGGGCAGAAAGGACCTGAGAATACTAGTTAAGAATCATGGCAGACAAAACAAAACACACTGTAATTAGACTGACTGTTCAGACCTCATCTGGGTCATCAGTTGACACAAAATTGCAATCTCAGATGGTTATGCAGGTTTACATGAATTGTGTCAGTCTGGACGTGTTTCAGTATCTCCCTCACAAAAGGGTGACTTTCCATCTGGCAACACAACAAACAAGCTGTATGTTGACCATGTCTAATGACTTACGAACTGAAAGATAACCTAGTATGCAATGCTACTAATTGGGAGGGTGCCATAGAGATGGAAAAAGGTGTTAAATCAGTAGGACTGGCAAAAAGTACCTTTTGCATAGAGCTATGGTTTTGCCTGTCTGGAATTGAAAACTGCAGGCATTTTTAGTAGACACAGAAAACTCATCCTATTGCAATAGCTTCCATGTGTCTGTTGAGACACAGGAATGTTCTTTGCAGGCTTAGGTCCTTATGCCTGTCCAAAGAACAAAATGCTGTGTTGTGCCAAACTTCTTGCTTTCAGAGGGCAACCATTTCAACAGAAAGCTGTGCCAAGCCATGGCAGTGGCTATTTCCTGACACAATGTCAGCCAGAGATAAATCAAACCACCTT